TCTTATGTTTCTTTCACAGCATAAACAGCATAAAACTTATATTTGTGAGGACTCACATATATATGTATAATAAATAAAAATAAAAATATACATACATACTTACATATATCTTAGCTAGTAAGGACTCTTAAAGCGAAGCGAATCGAAGTGTTTAATATGTATAATGACACCAAACCATTTGCTTGTAGACACATATACATACATACACAAATGACGTGCGAAGTTGACTCCACAACAGATTTGTGAGTAAATTTTATAGTGAAAAGTTGTTTAATAATCTTTTAATAATCTACAAATTTAATCGCTATTTACAGTCACTTTTTATTGCAATTAATGACTTATTGGCGAAGAGGACGACGCAGTGGAAAAAGGAAATAGAGTAGAAGGAAATTCAAAAAAAAAAAAAAAAAAAAAAAAAAAGAAACGGATTTTAAATATAGAATGAGTGAAATGCCAATGTCAGGCGTAAAATGATTGCGTCAACGTGATGCGTCAATAAACGTGTACGCACTGACATATCTATTTAAGCAGTTTTTTGTTTACACTTTGCTAATATTAATATATTTACTTTTTGCATTTCAATTTACAATTGCCTTGAAAGTAAATGAGTTTTTCAAATTACTGCTAGAAAAAATATTAATTTAAGATTTCAAAGCCTCATTGTTTCACGTCACTAATGGAGAATTTCTATTAAAAACAAGTTCAAAGCGAAATTAATTTAATCAAATATATATTTGTGTTTTCTCTGTTTAGTAACGAATTTACCGTTAAATTGGTGAAGGCGTTACATTTCATTGCGCACCAAGCTTATTTTACACTTCATTAAACACCGACACGACGCTTTTGAGTTTTTTCTTTTAATTCTTTTCATTATATACATTTTTTTTTTCAATATTCCTTTCATGAACCCTTCGCCGTTAATTTTACGCAACAAAAAGCCACTCATAATGCTAAAGTTTCACAATTACTTCACCATTTAGTTATTTATGATGCCTTTTTAGCACACTTTTATGCAAGTTAAGAGAAAAACGAAAGGAAATATTTTGTGCCATCAACTTTTTGGTTACTTTTGGGTTCTCCAAACTAAAATGTAATTTGTTGGAAAATTTCTGTAAATAATATGAGTCCAATTAAGCGTCGAGAAGGAAGAAATGAGTGACTTGAGAAATAGATTAAGCTAATGGCATATAACTCTCAAGAGTTAGCTTCTGGAAAAAAATATTATTTTTCAATTTGAATTTGGATTTTTGATAAAGAACAAACACTTAACATATGAGGAGCATATGTATAACAATAAAAAAATACAAAAAATAAAAATGCTCGTAGGTTATTCAGAATCCTCTCTGTGTGGCTTACTTACTACAAAACATAATGGGAGAAGTGTTGCTCACCTCAGTCAGTTATGTCTGAGCGCATGTCAAAGAAGGATATCAGCAAAGCGAAAATACGTTGTATTCTACAATTTTTCTTCGCAGATGAAAATAGAAAGAGGCCGAAATTCGTGAGTACGCAGAGCTTGAGAAGTTGGCCGAAAACGGTAAAGACTTGAAAATTTTATAAAAAGATTTTTTATTAAAGGAAGATTTCAAGACCGGAGCATACTCAAGTAAAGACGTTGGTCTTTAAAATATTCAATGCAGTCTCCGTCGGTGCAAGCAGAGGAAGAGGAAGACCTTCACTCGGTTGAAAGCAGAAGGTGGAAAGCGACCTGATTTCGCTTGATATCTTTTACCGTCGCCAAAAAGCGAGTAGTCTTGTAAGCGATGCCCACGCCAATGAAGGAAAGAAGAAGAAGAGTCTTAAAGGTTTGTGATGCTAAAGTTGGTCCAGGGTGTGTAGAGCCAGATGTCGAGAATGTCGATAAAATAATGGAATTCGTCGAGTCGCTTGTTTGATTGCCCAGAAGCTAAACCTTACAGGAAAAACAAAAACAGTTTGGAACCAATTGAAAAATGGTGGATATAAAAAGCAATCTGATGTATGGATGCCATACGAGTTGAGGTGAAAAACCCTCAATTTGCATTTGCGATTTGCTGCTGAGTAATAAAATTGACCCAATTCTTAAGCAGATTGTGATTTGCGCTGAAAAGAAGCCAAACGAAATTGTTTGTGATTGAAGGTAAGGAAAACGGACGCCAAGCCAGAGTGGACGAATAATAAGTCTTTTTCCTGCGTATTTTGGTGGGTTTGGCAAGGAATTATCCATTACAGCTGCTTCCCTGAGGTTAAATTCTTTGTACGGACGCCTGTAGGAAGCCGTCGGCCAGTGGCGCCCGGTTTTGGTCAACAGGAGTACAATTGTTTTGTATTTCATGACAATACCCTACCACACACATGGGTAGTTACTCACCAGAAGCTCCGATAATTTAGTTGGATAGGTTCTTATGCATTCACCTTATAGTCCGGACCTTGCACCAAGTGATTTCCATCTCTTTCGGTTCACAGCAAATGATTTGGTTGGTGTGAAATTGGCCTCAAAAGCTGCCTGTGAAAATCGATTGCATAAATATCCTGCCAATAGGGAGAAGGGTTCCTATGAGTGAGGCATCCCGACGTTATCTTCAAAATAGTTTACAAGCTATTGAGCACAACGATGCATATATGACATAAATCGGAGAATTCTAACTATGGTTTTATGCTATCAAGCGTCCTAAGAACAATGACTTCAGAAACAAATATTGTATAACGGACTGTGTGAATTGGTGTGCCATTGGTATCAAAATATTGGTTATCATTGCGCGATAACGGTTTTGTTTGAGGAAGGTTTTTTTCTGTTCATCTTCAACGAAGAGCGACCCGAAAACCAAATAAGCGCTTTATTGCTCTTTTTATGGTGAGTGAGATTTTTATGCAAAAATAATGGATAACTTCTTACTACACCTGAAATACTATTTAAAAAATGTTTGAAAATTAAAAAAAAAAAAATAAATCGATAAACGAACACACTTTGTGGTTACGAAATTTATTGCATTATCCTTTCCACCGTATTATTGTTTACCGCAAAGAAAATGTTTACACATAAATTCCATTTTTATTGGAAAATGGTGCAAGGAACTACAGATTTCTATACATAAAATGTATATTTGTTTAGCTCTTAGGGCAATTAGAGATTATTCACAGTAATTAAAGTTTTACTTAATAAACAAAAACATAACAATAAACATTGTGTTTGTTTTTTTTTTACGAAAAAAAAGCATACTCTATGGTTTGATGTTCTTGAGATTTTTAATAGGCAAATAGAGAATATCGGGTTGCCCCAAAAGAAATCGGTGATTTTGTAGAAGAAAGTTAATGCATTTTTTTTTTTAAATTTTTTAATGAAGTTTATTTAATTGTGTAATAATTATTTTTTTGGATGACCTCTCTCCATCTTATCGACAATATTATTATTCCACGCTCATAGAACTTCTGGAGCTTTTCAGCAAGAAACTGAACGAAGTGCGATTCTCCAGCTTTGTTATTTTCAAAAGTTTTACCATCTAATGAGTTCTGCAAGGATCGAAACAAATGGTAATCTGACGGTGCAAGGTCGGGGCTATATAGCGGATGCATCAACAGTTCCCAACCGAGCTCTCCCAGTTTTGGCAAGTAACCCAAGATATGTGTGGTGTAGCATTGTCCTGATGGAATATGACACCTTTATAATTAACCAATTCTGGTCGCTTTTCGTTTCATGGATGTAATCAATTTGTCTAGTTGTTCATCGTAGACATCCGAGTTGATTGAGCGGCTAAAAATACTCCACACTCTTTCAATCTCACCAAACTGACTGGTGAATAACAGTCTCTGAAGTGGTTTGTGGCGCTTCATCATGCTAGGAGCATGACCGTTTTCGCAAACAATCCATTTTTCGTTTGATTTGCTTCAAAAAGGGCTCAGATTCATTGCGCTTGAAGCGGCTTGCTAGTGAATTTCTTTCATTTCATGTGCTACTCAAATATCAAATCATCTTAACAGTCCAAGACGTCGGAGCGACTATGAGCGATTGGTTGTGGTAAACGTAAGTTCACTCTAATCTCACAGTTACATGGCGAGCCAATTTGATTAAAGCCTTGATATCGTCAACAACATCAACTTTACTTGGTCGACCTGAACGTCGTTCAGCTTTGAGTGAAAAATCTTCCGAGCGGAATTTGACAAACCAATTTCGACAATCAGTCTCTTTTAGCCTTATCACCATACAAATTATGCATCTTTTTAGCAAACCTGCGTAGTGTTTTTTCCTTTATGGAAATAATAAAGTAAAATATGGCCAAAATATACTTTTTAATTTTTGTATGTTTCTTTTGACCTTAACAAACATTCAAGCTGCCAGCTTCCTGCTTAAGGTCAATTCTACTTATGAAGAAAACTACTTTCGTCTGGATTTTTTATCACTTTGCATGCAAATTATTCTGTCAGTTCGTTAAACTGAATTTGACCTTGCGAGAATGAAGACTTTCTCAATGCAAAAGAGCGGACTTTTTGTTAGTTTTTGTATTTTGTATACCCTATGAGTACAGCAAAGAGAAATTCAATTCCTCTCAGCGATTCGCCTGCCGTAATTTTTAAGCGCCTAAAGTTTCTTCAGCTTTTTATTTCCCACAGAAACTTCGAAGTAATTGAAGCACATTCATATGTATGTATGTGGATGTGTAAGTATGTGTGCCTAAGCCATTTGTATTGATGGCATAAATGCATTTGTACGAAGGTTAAAAAGCACTACTGTGGCATATTGTGGCACTTAAAACTTTAACATTGTTTTTTTTTTTTTTATTTACTTTTGTTTTTTTTTTGCTATTTTGTCACTCTTTCGTAATATCTTGCAACATTACTTTGTGGCTATAAGGGCCACCAAGGTGCCACAGCGTCGTTGCTTGCCCGCCATGCAGTCGCACGCGGTACGGACGTAAGTTAGTTATGTCTATGTCTATGTCTATGTAATAAGTGTTGACTTTTATGTGCAGCCACCGACGCGTTGGTATGCTTTGAAATATAAAAATATGTATGTTGCAACTGGTGTTGCTAATGAAAATAATATTTTTCAACAACTGTAGACGGATATGAGTGCTCAGCACGGCGCAGCGGCGAGTGGAGCTGTGCACCGAAGGTGTTGGCGGTAAGTAACGAGCGTAATGTGAATGGGCGAAGTGCAAATTCAAGGCACCGTGTGCTTAATGCAAGTGTGTGTGTGTGGGTAGCAAAAAATATGTTGGAAATAAAAAATATGAATAAAATATAGCAGTGAAGGAGCATAGACTACTGGTACTATGTATAGCTGCTGTTGTGCTTGTTGTTGCGTGGTAGTGCAGCAGTTGCAAAGAAATATCTCTTACAATACGTTTTGCGGCGTGCAACATGCAGAAATGTAATAAGAAGTTGCACATAGATTTATGATGCGATGACAGTAGTTTTAACTGGATTTCATATTCGTATTTTCC